CAGTTCTCGACTTATGACATTTCGAGTTACATCGAATACCACTTACAACATTTGTGAATTGACACCCTGTTTTGACGTTCTGACACGGGTTTCACCTTTATGATGTTGGACAGTCTGTTGTGGTGGGGGGGAGAGGGGAGGGAAGAGGTGTGGGGAGGCATATCAATGCCCCCGCAGTGAGGGAGGGATTGTGGCTGGGACTGGGGCAAGCGCTAGCAAGCTGGGGTGGTGGGGTGTGGGGAGGGAGTGGGATGGCTCCCACCACTGCATGCTGCAGGTCTGGGAGGGCATGGAGGGACATGTGCCCTGGGTCTGTGTGGGGCGGCCAGGGCCAGGGCTGTGTGCCAGGCAGAAGGTGCTGGAAGTGGAGGCTTTGGCCTGCCACCACTTGCGCAGCTGGGGTGCAGGGGCACAGGGGAGAAGTGCTGCGCTGCCTTGGACAAGCGGCGCACAGCAGCAGAACCGCTCCAGCCTCCCCGTGCCTCCCGGACAAGCTTTGGTTTGCCTCATTGAGTGGCGGCAGCTGCAGGGCATGGTGCGGGCGTGTGCCCCCGGGTCTGTGTGGGGTGGTTGGCAGAGTGGGGGCTATGGGGGGGCTGCAGCCACCCTAAAATTCCCCACCACCCGCCTGGAGCAGCCCCAGCTTAGGCCGCCCCAAGCAGATCCAGGGCACAAGCCCCTGCCATGCCCTGCCACCACTCTCTGGGGCGGAGCAAAACCACAGCTCAGCCGGGAGACACAGGGAGGCTGGAGCGGCTCTACTGCTGCACACCACTTGTCCAAGGCAGTGGAGCACCTCTACCCAGAGCTCCCCAGCCCCAGCTGGACAAGCAGCGCCAGGGCAGAGCCCTCGCTCCCAGCGCCTTCCACCCCGCTGTGGGGAAAGCAGCTGGACAAGCTGCAAATTCTCCTGTGACCACCCATAGCCCCTGCTCCCAGCACTGCCCACCTCGCCATGGTGGGAGCAGCCAGATGAGCTGCAGCTTCTTCCATGGCTGCCCATAGCCCCCAGAGTGCAGCTGGGCACTGCCAGCCTCCCCGTGGGGGAGTAGATGGATGAGCCGTGGCTTTGCTTCAGGGGCTATGGGTTGTTAATCATTTGGCTGGAGGATCAAGATAAACCCCATGCTCCTGTGAGTTTAGGCATCATTCAGAACGAACAGAAAAAAGTAGCAGAGGAAGAAGATGCACCCACTGTTTAAGAGACTCCTACTCATAAAGTCTTGACAACAAAAGTGTTGGCTGAGGCTGCCATGTCCGTTTGCGGAACCTGACCCGGACACTGAATGCAGTGCATCAGCTAATAGGGGCGTATTCAACATGTACAGCTGCTAGAGAAATTGACAAGCAAAATAAGAGAACATCTTCCAAAATTCCTTGGACACTTTCTTCAACAAAGCAGACAAGACTGCAGAAAAACCTGCAGTCAAGACTCCTGAGAAGACCCTTCAAAAAGTCCAGCAAAGTCACCTCAAATAAGTCCTTCCATTGCTATTTACAATATAAATACCTCAGTGTAGCTATATGACTCATCTATAATTGAGTATAAAATTCTGGGTTATTTTTGGTGAAAATAGGGTACTGGGCTTTGGTTCAGGAACCAATCCCCCATTTATAATATTGTTTCCTATTGGAAAATTGGTTCTGAGTTACAACGTTTCGACTTAAGATGGTATTTTCAGGAACCAATTGTGTCATAAGTCCGGGGACTGCCTGTACTGACTGGTGGATTTTCAATATACATTTTGGGGACAGCATAAATCTTAAAAAAGAAGCCTCAGGAGAGTTACCAGATGCAGTGATTGAGTGGGAGAGCTGCTGATGCACAAATCTAAACAAACAGGCAAGTATATTTGATACATTACATGCATTGATCAAAGGCTCTACACAGCTTTCTTTAATATGGTTTTATTTTTGAAGTATGTCAAACAAAAATAAACTTGACAGCATCCTGAAAGAAAGGAAGACAGATAAATGTGACCCCAATCACAAGTTCCAACCAACTCCCTCCCCAAAAGTCTGGGAAAAGGAGACGGGCGTTGCACAGTACACCATGAAAATCAACACAATTGGGTAATTTTGGGTCCATGGCGCAGAAGAGGAAATTCCAAAGAACAGGACCCAGGGAGAACATTCTGCCAGCTGCTCTTGTCTTTGTGACAAAGGGACTTTAGGTTGAGTCCCTCTAGTAAGCATGGTGGGAGCAACATTGCTTGGTGAAAGAGGCAACCTCTCATATACGCAATCTGTAAAGCATACACGAATTTCTGGGTCAAAAACAACATCTTAAACTGAGCCAGATCACTGAGCTCTAATGTTCTGGTGCTGGCTTTTAGACAAGTTAGAAAAAAGGAAATGGAAGTTTTACTAAGTTTTGTTGAGAATCTAACATCTTCCCTGAAGTGCAGGTTAATGTACCAATGCTATAGATATACAAGGTGCCCCCAGCAGACATGTGGTGGAAATCTGAAAGAGCATATATATATATATATATATATCTGCAGGCCTTTGTCTCCCTTCTGCAATAAACACTCAGTGTGAAGAGCGTGCTTTTCCCTTACATAATAGTCAGTCTTTCTTTTTAACCTGCCACAGACTTTGTATTATTATGAATATTCATTCCCTGTTCTCAGTTGCTCAGTGCAGCTTATCTTTGGTTTCTTTTTAATACTGTAAGCTCTGAATGTGGGGACTGTCTTTATTTTTATTTCTTAAATAGCACTCAGCACGCTGTTGGCACTTAACTGACACCAACAGTGATATTCGTTAATAAAAAGTTACCTACTGGGGTATGCAAATGCCTATCAATCTATTAAATGTTACCACTGAAAACACGTATAGTAGGGAGAATGGTTTCCATGAAGTAGCTACTTGGGAGGGAATCTTTTTCAGCTTTCTTAATTCAAGTTCAAACTGTGTGTACAAGACTGATGTGCTACTAAGCTTTTAGCTTGAGTCATTTCCAAGCAACCTTTTAAGTCAGCCAAGAGTTGACTATGCGTTTCCTATTCAGCCTTATTTAATACTATACATTTCAGTTGAACTTTGTTCATAACACCAAGCATAACCAAAACCTGAGTGATTTATAATAATGAAAGATGTTGCTAACATGTAGTTCTTCTACATGCCACGAAAGGGATTACCTGTATATTTTGTGTAACATTTCCTAACTTTGGTTGTAGTTCCACAGGAAAATACTGGTTATTAAACCAAGTTTTAAGTTTTGTGCAATGTTCCTATTTTCTGTACTTTTCCCAGAATAAGGGACATGTCTGTGCCTATGTCTGGAAAAAGACTACTTGTTTAACATGTTAATGCTGGGGATCTGTATTTGGCTTAATTCATAATTAAGTAATTGTTTCTGGTTGGCTATTGAGTGATAACAATAAGCAGGCAAAGAAATTATTAAAATTGCCTAGCTGGTAACATTTAAGATAGGGGAACAGGGAAGCACATATTTCCTACAGAGCTGAAAAGGAATACACAGTCTTGTTAGTGAATCTGTTTCAAGTAGAAGAAAAAATCCAGTGTTTATTCCTGTATACAACAAAGGGCATGAAATGGAATACTTGACTATATTTTAATGTATGCCATGCAAGATGTATTATTTTATAATTCCTTTAATTTTATTTTCAAGGCACTCTTGGGAATTTTTTTTTGAGTTTTAATTTGTAATGTGAAGTTAGACCTTATTGGAAAAAAGTACAGCAGAATAAGTAGCAATACCTGTGGTCTTGTGCTAGAATCTATCCTCAGTACTAGTTTAGATCAGGAATAAAATTCTCGCAAGTCAACTGAATTAGTGTACTAACATAAAACTGGTAGAAATGAGAGCAAAATCAAGCCTCTCTCTCTCTCCTTTTTTTATTAAGTGAAGATCTTACAATATTTACAGATTCCATAGATGTAGCAATCCGGCTCTTACAAAAATATAAAAGCACACAGAACTCCCCCAAATAATTCTAAACAGCTTGAAACCTACAGCTTTTCCAGTTATGAGGGAACAATGGTAGCAAAAATGCCTTCACTTTGTCAGCCTGATACTCAGTCTATATCTATGGGGCAGGCACAGGATGAAGCTGCAGCTCATCTGGGGACAGCAAGGTGGGGGGCGTGTGCCCCTGGATCTGTGTGCGGGGCAGGGCAGGCTGCCGCTTCACTCATGGTGGGCGGCGGTGGCACTGGGAACAGGACTATGGCGAATTTTGGGGTGGCTGCAGCCCCCCAGCCCCCCGTCTCAGCACCGTCACCATCTGCAGCCTGGCCCAGCCTCTCCCACTGAAAAGAGCTTGACGCAGCCCTGGCCCCAGTCCACCCCGCACGCAGATCCAGTGGCACATGCCCCCATGCCCTCTCAGGGTGTGCGCAGTGGCAGTAGCTGCTTCCCTCCCCTCCCCACCCTGGACAAGCTGTGGTTCTGTCCCGTGCCCTGCTCTGCCCTGACTAGGCAGTGCCTGACCCGACTAGGCAGTGCCTGCCCCAGCCCTAGCTCCACTCCCTTCTCACCGCGGGGGCCTCTATCTACACAAGGTAGAGTAGCCACCAGCCTCCTACCATGCAGGCTAGTTTATTAGCTTAGTGCCAGAGGTAATTCAGTGCTAAAGTTTCCAATGTCATGGTGAGCGTTCATTTCAGGAAGTAGCTCATCTGGAAGAGTGCAGTGTTCTTGGGGGCACTGCTTCCTGGGATTATAAAGTTACCATATAGACCCTACACTTACCCAGAAAGCCTGACCTAATCTCATGCCAAACATGAACACTGAGAAATGTAGGCTCTGATTCTTCAAGGTTCTTGCTACTCCTTGAAGTTATTTAAATTTATAAAACAGATCAGATTAATAGAGAATACATAACAGCACATAATCCAAATAATGTAAATTCTCAGATAATTTTATCTGAAGTGTTCTCAGAGAGCAGAATTAACCCTAAAGATAGAGGCCATGTCCCTTAAAAGCAACATATCAGAACTATAACCGCCTCTCTACTTAATACTAAACTTACCTGCAAGGTAATATCCTGACAACATCATTGGGCTTGTAACCTTCAATACAAACAGCACAATTATCAAAGTCTGGCTCGGTTTCCTATGAAAAAAGACAGAGAAAGAGAGTGGGGAAAAGTGTTCATTAGATTATTTTTTAAAGAACTTGTGAGCTAATCTCTTCGTACATGAACCTAAGTGGTATGGACAATAACAAGATACACTGAATTAACAAAGGGTAGAGACTTCTGTGTCAGCTGCTCCATGATAACTGTCTGTCTGTCCACTCTTACACCACACTAAGGCCTTGTTGCATATTAATTTTAGGTGGCTCCTGAAGCTCTTAACCCTTGGTTTGTCCACACAGTAACATGTGAAATTAGTTTTATGCACTCTTTAGGCATCTTAAACTTACGTCACTTCAGCCTAGGTTTCTCTCTGATCTGCATTACCCAGCTCGTGCTACACTAAGGTATAGCCATTCTAGGCTATGTGTTTGTGTGAACATACCACCCAGACCTGCTCCCCTCGTGGATTCAGTCCAGAAAAGAGAGACAGACTGGCACCAGTGGGAGGGACTGGGCAGGGGGGTTTCCCCTTCTCTGCCTGCTCCCCCAGGACAGCACTGGTGGCTGAAAGTCAATCAGGAGGGCACAGGGGTGGAGGAGAGCCCTAGGGGCCGAGAACAGCCCAGGATGGTAGGGAAGGGAACACCAGACTTACCTTTCAGTCCTCAAAGCTATGGGCTTGAACGTGCAATTGTTTCAAACTCAAGCTAGCACTAACACCAATTAACATTTGGACCAGCTCAAAGGGCAATGTGTAATAAGGCCCTAAGTGAAAGGTAAAGTGAGGCAGCTTGCCCCTGAATGCAAAAAGGTTAAGTTTCCTGCATTAGCTTTCATTTACTGCAGGATAAGAACAGGGAGATGAATAGTTACTGAAAAGCAGTTGTTCCACCTAAGCCCTCAGCCCCCTGTAACCCTCTGCAATTTAATTTTTCATCGAGAATTAAACATGGTATATGTGAAGACAAACAAGAAAAAAAAAGCTTTTCCTCGGGGATCCAGTCCTGTAGGTCTTACACTTCAGTATTGTTGCCAGTGCGGGGTTTGCCAGAGCGATGAGGACTGGAGAATTTGATTTGTAAATTCTAACAGTAACATATTTACAGGTTAGACTAAAAAGACTGTTACTGTATTTTTATTTCCTTTCCCTTCCCTGCTCCATTCCATCCTTAAGTTGCTTATCAGCACTCTTCCCCTGGCTGTGGGGTATTTGTTAGTGTGAACAGGTAACTGTCATCCCCCTTCTGCTTCCTGCTTCCTGGAAGAGTGAAAGGAGTCTCTCTGCAAGTTCCATTTTCAAGTGAAAAGCTTGAAGAATTACCTTATCACCTTTTCTGATTGTTCTGACTTGCAGCTTGCTGATAGCTTTCTTTGCAGCATCCCCAAGACGGCGCTGAAAATGCAAAAATCCTTTTTAGTAAAAAGCATATCTTTATGCAGAAGAAATCACCGCATTTTTGGGAAGCTGTTTAATAATCTGACACAATTTTTACATGAAACAGTGAAGTGCTGTGTAAATAAACTGACAGGGCCAGTGAGGATGCTGTAGGAAAGTGAAAACCACTTATTTTAAAATCCTGCGTGGATTAAAGGCTCCTCAGTTATTGATGAGTAAATTCCATTGGGGAAGGTACTTATAATGTAGATTCAATGTAGAACAAGCATGGGCCTATGATTATAATAAATGGTTTTATTTTGGGTATTGCCTACAGGTAAAAATCGATCTGTATGAACCAATCTGCTAATTGGGGGACCAATTTATTCTTCTCTTAAATAACACTAATGAAATATTTTTGAGGAAGATGCTCCTGAACTGTACTCCCACCCTTGTTTCTGATCTGGTTTATGGCTTTAAGCAAGCCATTTTGACCAAAAGTTAAAAAATTGAGGCACAGTGAAAAATACTTCTCTTCAGCAAGGGACAGAAGTTATACATAAACCGGTAAAAGTGATCGGAAACCAGTTCAAATCTGTAACACAACAGAAGTTCAGTGCACATAAACCACTTCCAAAATGGCCAAAACCAATTTAAGATAAACCTGGATGGATGTAGTATGGATGCAGAGTGGGCTGGCTAGCCTTGTCCCAAGCAGTCTGTTCAAGGAGAGCAGGGAGATGTGGTCTACCACCCCCCGGCTTCTGGCCCGGGCCACTGCAGGCATGTGGCTGCATTTCTGGAATCAAAATCGAGTGTCTGTTGGCTTGCTTATCGGTTCAACCTACAGTTTAGACTAACCTGTGAAGGCTGAATCAATTCAGCCACAGGCTTTTTGACTGTGTGTATTTAGCTTTAATTTTCATTCTGATGAGATTCTGATCCCAGTTCCCCTATCTTTAATATAGTATTAGGCTATTCCAAAAGGATACTGCTAAAACACCAGTGGTTTTCATTCAAGACAATACAAGTACATTTAAATGTCAATCATTATTCTTAATTGTTGCTCAGTGTTTGTGCAGAAGCATGTCTTTCTGTGCTTTTCACTAGGTCAGCAGCTGATACTACCTGCAGATGACTGCACCTGTGTGGGGGCCCCAGCTGATTTCCATGGAGCTGTATGCAGGTGCAAGAAGTCTGCCCGCACATTGTGAGTTGCAGGGTCAGTGCTGAATCCTTTACCATACATTGAGCCCCATGTCCTCCAGTTAAAAGCAGCTGATGAAACTTCAGATGCACGTTTCGTGCAAGAAAAATGGATTCCCGTGCATACAGAAATTTGGCAGTGGGGGATTGGTGAAATGTTAATTGCCACAGTCCCATACCCGTGCAGGGTTTGACTCAGCCTGCTGGGTTGGACCTAGCATGCAGGCCCAGACTCAGCACACTGGTTCAGTTCAGAGGCCCAGACCAGCATGCAGGGCTGGGAGGAGGCTCGGAAGCAGGCTCAGCTCCATAGCTGCCGCTACTCTGTATCTGCAAAGAATATTTTTTTCTCTTCATTCTGCCTCTTAAAAACCAAGATACATGTTATATACAAGGGCATGTTCAATGTGAGTAAATATGGCATATTCTGTTTCTTTGCTTTTCCTTTTCCTCCTTTTCACCTTTCTCTATCTTTGATGCTGAATTGTAAGTGCCTTCCCAGTGAAACTTCCTAGCTATATATTTTTTTTCATACCATTTGTAAAAGCTACAGTGCTGTATGGGTCTGTGTATTCATGCTGCATCTCCAGACAAACCCCAAAGGGTGAAGCAACTGCCAAATGAGAACACACTCTCAGAAACTGGGAAGTGTTTGCTTACAGCAGCAAGAAATGCAAAACTGCTTTGCAGAATCAGCAACACCAACAGTGGAAGGGAGCCACTACTCCATGTCTTTCAGTAGTAAATTCATGTTCCATAATTGAGCGTGCGCCTATGTCATTATCCTAAGGCTTCTGTCTGCATGTGCAATCTTACTAAAATAGAGACGGGGGGAATCATACTTAAGTAACATATTTGGATACCTAATGCCCTTTTCTGATTTCACTTATGCTGGTTTTTTGATCAATGTGGATTTTGGATCCTGATTTCTATCACTGTTGTGGCGACCAAGTTGCCTTGTCACGGTCTGGGCCAACACGATCGGGCAGGTGGGGGCTAGCGGCGAGGAGTCAGGCAGTCAATACTCGTATGGTTGAAAAAAACTTCTTTATTTTCTCTTTACTTACGCCACCAGGTGATGGTAGTGTAGCGCAGGTCAGGCTTGGTTACAGCGATAACCGCAAAACGAAGACGACCGTAGGTAAGGGTGGGGTACGCCGGGACACGACGGTGGCAAACGAACGAGTTAATTGAAACGAAGATGAGCGTGTGCGAGGATGGGGTACGCTGGGACACGACGGTGGCAGGGAAACAATCACAAGTGGAACTCTGGGCTCATGCGAACCAGGGTTCTGTGATTCTCCTGAGCCAGTCTCTGCTCTCTAATTTTTCTGAGAGGTCTCCGACCCAGGATTCTGTCAGAGCGGGTCTCCGCTCTCTCTGGTCCCCGCTGTGGGCGGAAACTCGCTGGCTTAAATACTCGCCAGGTAGCCAATCACAGGGTTCTCTTTCTGGAAAGTTCTAGCCAGATTACATAATGCCAGTACATGACCTGGCATGCGTGTCTTGCCAATTCAGATTACCTCATTCAATTTCATACTGACCATGTGTGGGGCATGTTTGGACATGCGTATTGGCTTTCTGGGGTTTTTCCACTCACATGCTCGCATTAGTCTCCTTTAACTCTGTGTTATCAGCATCCATTTCAATTCTGGTTCAGACCACTGCATACATGGAAATTTTAGAGCAGAGGATTGTGAGGACATTACACTTTTAAGACCTGAAACACTGCCTATGTCAGAATTCAAAGCGTCTGCTTTTGCTGGAAATAACTGCAACCAGAACTGATCTTGAAATTAATAAAGGGAGGGTGTATAACACCTCCAAATTGATTCACAGGTAACCTTTTCCCTACCTTGTTATTCTGATATATTTAAAAGCAGTGCATTTAATTTTAATGATATATTTAGCCTATTGGATTTGGAGACCTGCAACAGGAAGGGATTTTATCATAGCCTAATAAACCTCAGTTTAAATGTGATCACAGTATTACAGGTGAGAGAACAAATTCAGCTCTGACATAAGACACAGAACTTTTATTCACTTCCAAGAGAAGGTGTAAGTGTGAATTTTGTACCGTAATTAACTGTTCTATTCCAGAGAGTATCTTGTAGTTATACAACAAACACGTTACATTTTTCATCTAGCTTTGCCTTGAACAAAGGGATCAGACAAGATCTGAAAATATGACTTGTAAACTATTTATCTCTTCCATGCAAATCAAAGACAGCCTGATGCTCTAAAATAAAAGAAACACAAGAACCATTATGTCTGATATCTGGAATTTTTTATAATTTTTTTTTTTTAATTACTTCTATAATGAAATAATCCAGTCTTTCTTCTGCACATTCTTCAAGAGAAAAGAACAAGATTAAAGACTGGTTTAAAACTTTGATCTGTTTGTTTTCAAGTTTGCCTCTTCTTATCTAACTCAAATGACGGCAAGTTCATGATTTCAATAAAAATTAGATCAATTTTTTAAAAGAAAGCTCCTTCATCAGTAGATGCTGGAATAAAGTCATACTGTCAAAACATTCTTGCTTTTGTTTGAAATACATGCTATCATAATCAGATCCTGCCCACAACGTTAAGAAGTGTTAACATTACAATAGTTTGATGCGAGGTTTAGGGATTTATGATTATAAAACCCGTAATCTCATTAACACTGGGACACAGGCTTGGGCTGGTAGGAGTTAAGACTGTCCAGCCTAGAGGTCCTTCAGGGAGGGCAGTGTTGATTGATGAGATAGAATGGTAACATGGAAAGTATGTCTGTTCCCGTCTTTGGGAAAACAAGTGCTAATAGATGGCGTGGGAGAGAGCTAATGGGAACCCCTCCCATCTTAAATTGACTTTCTCCCAAATAATTGTTCTTTTCTTCCCTATGATTGTCTTACAAGCTCTAAGCTGTTCAGGGCAAGGTTTGTCTTTATCTTTGTGTTTTGCACAGCACTGAGCATACTGCTGGAGCAAATTACCTTCATGTTCAAAAGTAGGTCTTCCCATCATTTTACAGCCTCCAAACACAGCTAACCTCAGAGACACTGTCTGACATAATGGTGGGGTTTAGAAGGCTTGTCTTCTTGGGAGCCCACAACAGCCATGAAGAAAATGTCTCTCAGGCCCTCAACAGACTTTATATTTAAAACACCATTAACAGATTAATCACACCTTAAATAGTAACCTAGCCATACACGCAAGTCAATTTAAGGTGTGATAATAAATAAGCCATACAGTTAGTCCACATGTATGTGTGCGTATGTGGAGTAACTTTGTGGCTTATTTGTATTGCACCTTAAATTGAACATGTGGCCACCTCTGCCCCAGGACCCAGCAGAATCTTGCATGCTGCCCAGCTGAGTGGCACACAGGTTCCCAGCTCCCAGCACACTGGGAGCTTGGCACCGGACTGTGGCAGCCTGATGCTAGGCTCCCCACAACCCAGACCTTTTAAAGGTCCATGTGGTGCCAGGCGCAGCTGGTGAGCTCAGACTGGTGGGGCAGATGGAGTGTCCCACAGGAGCAGGGAGGCGTGGTTGGAGGGAGAGGTTTGCAGCTGGCCGTGAGTGGGGGGGTTTGCAGCTGGCCGGGCACTCTAGCCAGTAGCAGGGAGGCTGTAAGTGCCCCCCACCAGCTGCAACCCCTCCCCCCGTGGGATTCTCCACCCGCCCCACCAGTCTGAGTTCACCAGCCACGCTTGTGTGCTGCCCAGATAAGTGGAACACAGGTTTTTACTCATTCCCAAAGCTTGGGGACCCTGATATCAGGCTGTGGCAGCCTGATCCCAGAGACCCTGTGCACCCCCACTGGGG